GTCTCTACCCCATTGTGCCCATGGCTTCCTCCCTGTGCCCAGGTTGCTTGTCAGTGACTCAGACCAGCAATATGCAAGTATCTACAGCATACCTAAAGGTCATCTGGAAGACTTGGCCTTGGTTCACATGCTGGGTCCGGTTGTTGTAACCATGTAGCATTTCTCCAAAGAGGGTATCATTGAATTTGGAGTCAGGTTTGAGGCACTTGGGGCCCTCGCAGACATCTGAGAGCATTAAGCAGGATTTTCCATCAGGAGCCAGTTTGTACTCCTCCACGCAACTGTATGATAAAACAGAGCTGAGAATTAGCTTCACACCCTGAATGCCCCCATTGGGGGTGACCTAAAACCAAGGCCTCCTTTCCCTGCAAAACAGGTCAGAGTTTAGGAAGGAGACAGCTATTCTGCCTGGAATCTATCTAGGGCACAGATGTCTAGAGAGAAGCACATTAATACTGCAAATTGGTAAATTCAAGGAAAGTCATTTGTGACATTTTAGAGGAGTCAAGGGGACACCAGCATGCACATCCACACACAAAGCAAATTTAAAAACTGTTTCCCATGAACACACAGACTTTAAAAAGCATGACAGACCAATTCACAGGGAATTATCAACTAGTGTCTCAAACCAGAATCTATTCCCAGTGCATCTGTCAACGAAGTTTGAAGACTGTAGCAAATACAAGGTTTTTATCATCCTGGTAGCTCAGAGGTGAAACTTTCCAGGACCATGGACAGCACAAGGCTTCTGTTCACTTAGGGATTTTAGCAGCCTCCGTTAGTCTAACCACCCATTTCTGATAGCCAGAAAAGCCCTTGACCAGCCTTTGAGACAGCGATGGTCTCATCTATGGGCAAAACAGGCATCTGAATATTTGCAACTTGAAGATTTGCAGGGACAAAGAAATCTCAGAGAGGCGTGGGCTGGAGTGGATGGGGGTGGTTGGGGCAAGAAATCAGAGATCTCAGCCCCTAAAAAATCATTCCAGAACCTGGAATTGTATGAGTGTCTACCTTTTCAAAGTTCAGTGCTACACACTAGGGGTATGGTGCATATAAATAAGTAAAGACAGACAAGAAAATCGTCTGTGATATTGGACAGACGTGTACAAATTTCATTTTTCTCCTTGTGACCTATGTGAACATGAGTGAGTCATTTAATGTCTATGATCCCCAGTTTCCTCATGTGTAAAATACAGTAGACATTCCTACCTTTCTTAATTCAGTAGGATGCTATAAGGTCACATGATATATTGGCCACAAAAAAACCCCAGGAATTGCAATGTACTTAACACAATAATCATAACAGTGGTAGTAATGGTGGTATTTCTATTTGTTGAGCATGCACTATTCACTGAACACTTTATGTATTTATTATATAACCATGAAGAAAGAATAATATCATCATTTCTGCTTTACACATAAGCAAAATAAGGAGCCAAGATGTAAAGCATGTCATACTATAAGTAGCAAAGTTGATATTCAAATTCAGTTCTGTTAGAAAAAGGGACATTTGTCTATTTTTGTCTCCTCCAAATCTAGTGCCTTCTATGTGCACAAAATGACCCTGGTTGGGTTATACCAGTTTGAGAAAGTATACAGCAGGCAATCGCTTATTTGCCTTTCTTTCAAAGGGCGTAGCAAAGATTCATTGATTCTAACTGCAAAGGGTCTCAGGAACTCAGATGGGAGAAGGAAGAGGCTCTGTATGGTGGTTTGGAAAGAAAATGTACACAGGTTGTGGGAAGCAGTAGCTGATGCTACAGATATAGAGCTGAACTGGAGGCAGAAAGAAGACAAGCATAGCTGAAAACTTGACCCAAGATTACTCTAGTGAAAAGCCAGGAAGTCTCATGCATGAAGCAAACCGTCACTGTTTCTCTGCTTTCCCCAATCCCTGGTGTACTGCACTGATGCACTGATTGTCTTTCTAACGTTCACATGTTCCTTTCCATAGTGCAGTGGGGAAATCTCTTGGAAAAGGGCCCTGTCTCGGAGCCTTGGTAAAGTATATTCCCTTCTTTTTGCATCTGCTAAATATTACTAAGTCCCTTTTAATACAGTTGCAGTGCAGATGAAATGAGTGTATATGGAAGTGAATCGTACATGATGAGTGCTTGATAAAGTCTAGTTCCATCCATTTATTCAGAAAATATGGAGAAATGGTTTCCTGGGTATACTGGCTAGAGTTCTCTCTCTCTCTCTCTCTCTCTCTCTCT